GTAAGTGCGTTTGGTTGTACGATCATAGTGCAACGGAAATTTGAGTTTGGTAAGACTGATTTACGTAATTATACGTACCGTTCTGCGCCAGCTGCAACAAAATGATGGAGTTGTACAATGATGGAAATGATGAAGAAGCACAAATGATGGGAATGATGGAGGGGAGAGAAATGATAAGAAAGAAATATAAAAGTAGTGGTAGCAGGAGTGAGAAAGAGGGGTTCCTTTTGGGGTGGCATATTTTAAGATAGCAACATTTGATATTTTATCTCTTTATTTTATTTTATTTTATCCTATTTTATTAAATAATTATAATATCGTTTATAATAATATTCATGTAAATTGTAGAAGTAGTAACAGAATAGAAACACGCCATTGTAATATTTTTTTGCCTAACTTCTAATAAAACTTTCTTTTGGTTGTCTAATTATAAATTCTCTTATAAATCTGTTCTAGCATTGATAGTACACATAGGAAAAATTACCTCTACTTCACTTGCTCACATACCTCCCAGATAATACTCATAATTTTGTAGTTGTTATTAAAGTTATAACACTGTATAGCAATACACAAAGAAATGTAAGCTATTATTGTGACTGGAAACTTGATTTGTTGTGTAATTCTGTTGTGTGCTGTTTAGACGTGACAGTACCTTCAGATATTACACATAATTGTATTGTTTGTGAGTGTTAGTAAACAGGTTTAGATTGACTGATTGCCTGTCTTGTTGTGTTTTAAGATATTGCGCACAAGAGAAAGTGTGTTAGTAATACATTGAATTATCATGCAATTTATTGAGACTAATTGGCTTAATTTTCCACATTGTTCTGTGCAGACTGTGACAGTATGGATTCTCTAAAAGGTTTAAAATTATTAAATTTGGTTTGGTGATAACATTTACTATACTATAAAGAAACAACAATTACTATATGTCAAAATTTATAAAACATTAAAATAATTATGGAATAAACATTTATCAAATACAATGTGGAACCTCTATAATAGGCACCTCAAATATCTTTTGATCTAGTGATCAGAATTTAACAAAAATAATACCATTGAATAGATAAACAAAATAGGCAAAAAAAATTCTCAATTTTTCTGGTTAACAAAAATGTGATCTAGAATGATTTTTATTGACAAATTTAATTTTATATAAATGTAAATAAAAAATATATTAATATATATTATTCATTACAATCATTTTCTAAAATAAATTGATTAATATATCATCAGAAACTCTTCTATGTAATTTGTATTTTTTTTTTGCAAATACTGCAAGTTTTCCTGTTACACCTTTTTATAAATATCCATATATCTCTATAATTTTCTTACAAACCATCTTTTTTGAATAAATGAAATAGAATCTAAGGTCTCAGGAACAGTTTTTTGCAATCCATTCCATGTATAATTACAATTTTCACATGTGTATTTTTTTGCTGCTCCCCAAAGCATTTCAATAAAGTTCAATTCACAATGATATTTGAAATAAAAATTAAATTTATATCCAGCTTCATTAATTATTATTTCCAACTCTAACTTTTGTAATAAAAAATCAGGTTGTAAGGACATAATTTTATGAGCACAACAATCAATTCTTGTTGAATCTTTAACTTTGTTTTTGCATAATTGACAGTCAAGAATTAATTTATCATGCCATAATCCTCATTCAATTAATATTTGTTCAATACCTTTTGATTTGTTTGGATATTTTGAATGATCAGAAGATTGAAAAGTATTTTCTAATCCAAATGTTGTATTTTTCATTATTGGCTGATGTCCACCTGAATTTAAATTCATACATTGTGCACATAAAGCATCATCAGAAAATGCTTCATGATTTGTACTGTTATCAAATGCAAAAACAGCAATCGTATTTGGATAAACTTTTTCAAAAATTGTTAAGCAAAATATTTTACTTGTTCAACTAAATGTTTTGCAGTCTACCATCCTTCTTCATTTTTGCCTGGATGTAAAAATTTTCATGCATTTCTTGAAATATCAGGATATAATTCAGCTTGTTCATTTGTTAATTTTAAACAACCAATTGTTTCAGTTAAAAATTTACTAACCATTATTGATTTTCCTTGTCCTTTTTTTATGAAAAGGTGGTTTACCAAGTGGTGTCCAAATTATTGGATGGTCATTATTGGCATAAAAAATACATTCATCATGAGTTACCAAAATATGATTATCTAATAAAATTGAATCTTTTTAATTCATATTGTCACTCTCAAATATTAGCATTAATTTTTCATATTCTTTCATCTTTTTAAGAAAAATATTTCTATATTCTACCATGTCTGAATGTTTATGCCCATTAAAATAAATTCCTTTTTTTTTTGTAATTGTGGAATTAATCCAAGTTTTTGTAACCATATTCTAGCTGTTTTTTCTAAAATTGATTTAATTATTTCCAATTGTAAAAAAAGAGTTTTGTTGATAAAAGCTCTATATAATTTGATGAAATTTTTTCTTCATTATTATGAATAAATTTCAAACTCTTTTCAATTATATCTTCATCATCTATTAATAACTTGGTTTTTTGATGACAACCTTGTGATGATGTTGGTAATACACCATTTTCAAGTCAATTTTTTGACCATTTACAAATTTCTTTTACTCAATATAATCCTTTGTCAAAAACTTTCTTTGCTGCATTAAATGAAACATCTTTACTATTTATATTTTTTCTTTTTTATTAATAAAAAATTTATAAACTGATTGATGCCTAAAAAAATCATATGCTGAAATTTTTTTTTTTATTTTGTTTAAGAATTGTTTTTAATGTAATGTATTTATTCTTTCTGAAAAATTATCATTATTGTCACTTTCAATATCCATTTCATCTTTATATATTATCTGTAAATTCACTTGATTTTTCTTCTGATGCTTCTGATGCTGAAATATCATTTTTATCTTGTATGCTTTCTACAAGTTCTTCTTCTAAATTTTCCTGTATTAAAATATTACTATTAATTTCTGTATTAATTGTAACACCTGATTCCATTTGGGTAAAATATTTATTAATTGGTAAAGAACCTTTTTCTGCTTTTGTATAAATGCCTGATGGACCATATTTTCAATAATATGTTGCAGTAAATTTATCAATGCAAGGTACTTTTTTTGTTTCATGATATTCTAAAAAATAGAATAAATTTTTATTTATTTTGTATATTTTTATATGATTTTTAATTAAAAATTAAAAAACAAAAAACATACCTGTCATATTTAGAGTTATTTCATCTAATTTTAATACTTTTTGATCATATCTTCATCCGAACTGTTTGGTAAATAATTACTATCAGTTTCATATTCATCATCATCATTACTATCTGAATATTTTGTGAAAAAACTGGCCAGTACTTTTATTACATAATTGATTCTTTAATCTATTTTTAGCAACTAATTTTTTACATGAAATTTGGTATGATGAATTATAAAATTTTTGAATAATTTTTTTGAAATTAAACAAAAATTTTATAATAAAAGGTGAATATGTTCTTAAGCTAATTTTTATTATATTAAAATAACTGATTTTCAAATCTATGTAACAGCTCAATATTAAGAATATGTTAATCAAAACTGACAAATCTGATAGCTCTTGATCTGATCTATCAAAATTATTGGTTAAAAAATTAAAATTCCCATTTAGAAAAGTGTGCCATTTTTTTAAAGGTAATTAATTGTTACTATTGAGGTGGGTCAGTTGTAGAGGTTCCACACTATATAGTAATAATTCAAATGTAAGAAAAGATAAATTTAGAGGGGGCCAATGTTACACATATATTTTAATTTAGGGTGATTATTAATAATTTGAAGCCATTGTTATCTGTGTAAACTTTCACAATTTACAAAGACAACAGGATAAAATAATACTAAAACTAAGAAACAAAACTAAATAAAGCTATAAAATACTAATCTCAAAATAAAACAATTACAATATAAGGGTTTATATATAAAAGGAATTATGTATGATCAATTATAAAAGAGGCATATTAACTATTAATAGTGGTATGATGACTTGTTAATAGGGACAGACAGTTTATCAATTATTAAAAGAATACAATAAACAAGGAACTTGTAATATTAACTTTATTACTTAATAAATCCTATAACTAACTGACTAACTATTGAACTGAAAGACTAACTAGAAAACTAGCTAAAAACTGAGGACTGAGTTGAGGGAATTCTGATCCTTTATATACATGATAGATTTAACTGTAAAGTTAACTTGTAATCTGACTTAAAACTTCACTAGTATCTATGCTAATATCCTATCTTGTACCTTAACTGCTAATTTAACTTGTACTTTAACTGAGATATTAACTCATACTATAACTTGTACTCTAATTTGTATTCTAGTGTTACAGATTAACAAGAATTTAGAAATCTACTAATTTAAGTAATAATATTTAATTTGTACTACAGCCTAGTAAATTGATTTACTGTAATACTATATATAATAATAAAAAATAAATAATAGATAATAATAAAATAATAAATATACAATATAAAATATATAATAATAAAATATAGAAATAATTAATAAAAGTAAAGATAATGCCATATATAAATTATTAATATTATTAACTGTTAACAATGTAATTCTAATATAAATTTTAAAAAAATTTTTTATCCAGTTATATGATAAAAATTATTTACGATATTTTTAAGATTTCAAACAATGTACATGTATAAGTTTTATTCTTGTATTATCTTCTTCTAAAAAATAGAGTTGGCTATTTTAATATTTTGACTTTTTATTTAAAATAAAAAAAGTTTTTAAATTATTATTTAAAGATTTATGAACGAAATCATAATGAACTAAAAGATACATTTCAAAAATCAAAAGAATATCCTTATAAACCATCATTATTAAAACTATTATCAGAAAAAACATCACTATTTTTATTAAACTATTTTCAAGAAATATATAAAAATCAAGGAAAAGGAACATTACATAAAAAAAGAAAAAAAGTAGAGTATAAATTAACTACCTTAGAAGAAACTGTTGATTCAAGGTGTCTTCCAACAGGATATAACACCAGCAAATCCCCATCACAAGATACTTGTGATCATTGCAATAAAAAACTTAATAATGGTGAATATTAATGTGTAGTCATGGTTATCACTATGAATGTTATCAGATTCTTGAGTATGGATGTCATTACTGTGAAGAATATTACAAGTGCTGAATTTATAGCAATGTAAAATCATTTTTAGAAAGGCTAGAAAAGGATTCCAATATCCTTACTCCTGAAGAAAATGAAGGTGAAGAGGTTTTAGTTGAAGAGAATGAAGTAATAAAAGAGGTAGGAATGAAAAGAAGTCAAGAAGTATATAATAAGCTTTTAGAAACACTTAACTGCATTAACACTTGATAATATTATATACAGATTTTATAATTATTTGAAAGGTTCGAAATTAATTAAAAAATTTAATAATAATAATATAATAATAATAATATAATAATAATAATATAATAATAATAACATAATAATAATATATAAATAAACATTACTTGTATTAAAGTAGTCTTTTTTAATATACTATTAAAAAATATCCTTCTAAGTAAACTTTTCCAAAAATTGGATCTTATTGGATCTGAATAAAAGAAATGAAGAAATAGCTTCAAAGAATATAATTATAAAATTCCATCATTTATTAATTAGTTGTTTTTGCAACTAGTCATATATGCGACAGTTTTTCAATTGAACCCTAAAACTAATATAAATATTTGTATAACCCCAATGATCAAAATCTAGACTTTCCCTATGCTATATATACATTTTTGTGCAAAAAATGTTTAAAGAATAGTATAAATAAATTTATTAAATAAATTGTATATATTTCTATTATACTGTGGTGATTCAAATTGGTAATCAGATGAAATGTCACAGGGGATGATAATTTGTGTCACTAGATGAACATTCAGGTAATTGTTATCCCACTATACCTGCCACCCAAATTCAAAATCCAAATGCCGAAATCCCAAATGCCGAAATCCCAAATCCCAAATCCCAAATTATGATTAGTATTTTTTGCCAAAATCCCAAATCCCAAATTTCAAATACTAGTAATTTGGGATTTTGGCGTCCCAAATCCCAAATGATTTGGGATTTGGGCAACACGTATATATCCCACATGAGATGACTGTACGAGGATGAAGGATGAAGTACGAAGATGACCATATGAGGATGAAGGATGATTGTACAAAGATGAAGGATGAAGTATGAAGATTAGAAGGATGAAGTGTAAACAAAAGAGAAAGTATAAATACGACAGTTGTTGGGTGTAAGTTTTAGCAGTGATCAGAATTCATTAATAGTTATTAGCTAATTAATTATTACTTATCAAAATATTTTAATATTATTAGATAGAAAAGTAAACTTACTTCAGAGATGGTAAAATAGACATTCTAACACATAATAATATTTCTGCCGCTGAATTATACTTTACTTTTAAAAACTTTATATTTTATATTTTAATAAACTTATATCTTGTGCTGTAATATTGCAGAATATTATTAAATATTGTTTGATACTGTGTCAACTACTTTTACTTCACCTTATTCACTGTGCCTTCATGATTAATTGATTATTACTTGATATTATTTGATTATTATTATTATTTATTATATATTTATTATCTGTTTCAGGACAGTTAAATTGATTAGATTAGCTGTGACCTACTGGCAGATAGAGTGTATTATCATGTTTGTGTGATGCAAACTTTAAGACTGATTTGAGAAATTATTTGAAATATTTTGCACAGTAGTGACAATAGCTTCATATAAATCATCAGCTTCCTTAGAATTAGACAACTAAAAAAAATACAACAAATATAATAAATAAAAATATGATAAAATATTGTAATAACAACGAAAGATTGATAAGATAGTATAAAGATGGTAGTACAGAAAACATGTGGTGTAGAAACATAAATGATGGAAATGATAGAAGGAAGGGAAAAGTGATAAGAGAGAAATATAAAAGTAGCAGTAGTAAAAGAAGAAAAAAGAGAGTTCCTTTCACATCTTTTTGTGGTGAGGGTAGTTTTAGTTAAGGTTGATTATTTTTTCGTGACCTTCCTAGCCACATTTTTGGTTTGGTTGTTGTTCATTTTCAGCTGTCTTTTTTTTAAAAAGATGTTGACCCTTCAATTGTTTTTGCATCAATTTTTCCTTTGCTCCTGCCCATTCAAAGGATTACAGTAGACTGAACATTTGTAGTATCTACATTGATTCCATTAGAATTAGCAATACCAGTATAATTGGTTTCAGAATTGATGTTTGCGTGTGTTTCACTTGTTACTTTAATCTTTCCCTTGTTCCCACCCCTTCAAAGGGTTATAGTAGGTTGAGCATTTGTAGTATTTACATTTGTTCCATTAAAGGTACTGGTATTTTTGGTTTCAGAATCAATATTATTAAGAGCTTTATTTGTTACTTTAAACTTTCCTTTGCTCCTGCCTCTTCGAAGGGTTATAGTAGATTGAGTATTTGTAGTATTTACAATATTTCCATTAGAATTAGAAGTGCTGGAATTATTGGTTTCAGAATCAATGTTAGTAGGTGTTTCACTTGTTACATTAATCTTCTCTTTGCTTCTGCCCCTTTGGAGAGTTATAGTAGGTTGAACATTTATATTGGTTACATTAGTTTCAGTAGGTTTATTCATGGTGATTAATTGAGAAATAAGTTTTTGGAAATTTTCAAGTTGCAAAGCTACTTCTTTAGGATTAAAATTTAGAAAAAGAAAAATTTTTTTTGTAAAATGGCAAGCTTTGGTTGAATTCCTGAAAGGCAAAATTTTTTTCAGAGATCAATTGTATATGATGACTATTAAATCTAATGTAATAATTACACAGAAGTAAAAATAGTAAGAAGGGAATATACTGTATAGCTGATGTCATGATTGATCTCTGGATTCTGGGATAAATACTTATTAACATGATAAAGTCATGGGTACATATAGGGAATTAGATCTTGTTGATCAATAATATTCATATTAAGATAAAGTAGATATAAAAATTTAATTTATTCATTTAATTAATGCAGAAGATTAATTGATGAGTATAAAACTGAATTTAAATAATAAAAATAAAATAAAAATAATTATTTTATTTCCTAAAGTGTAAAAATTTAAATAGTTTTCCTAACAATCTTAAATACTTATATGATGATAGTTTTCATATTAATAGATGCTCCAAAAACAGCCAGCATTGAAAGTAAAATTAGATTCACAACTATACATAACAAAATCAGATACATTAAAATTGCATTACTGGATTTTTTTTTTTTACTCTGTTAAGAATTGAATTTTTGATATTATCATTTTAATGGGAAAATGAAACTATCTTTTGTTTTCATCCATTATCAATATTACTTTTACCCCACGCCAATGGATTATAGCTTACAATTTCATCTGTGCAACTTGCAAATCCATATTGAGAGTTCCATGTTAGATTAATTCAAATTTACATGGAAAATTTGTTAACATATATGAAGTTTCTATTTCCCTATGTTCAATTCATTTAGAAATTTCTGCAGCATGTTCTTCTGAAATGATAGTTGAAAAAGATTTCATCAGGTGTTATTTGTAAGGTTCCATTTCTAAATAAATTATCTGATGTGAATAATGTAATGGCATTCAATCATGACACACATTCATTTGATACAATGCAACCTAAATTCCTATTATTCACTCGTAACCTTAAAAAAATAACATATTAAAGGACCTATATTCTTAATTACAGAAAAATTGGAAAAGAGAGCACCATGTACATTGGAAATACCACTCAAAGAAACTATGTCGAAGCATTCATACCTAAATAACCATATACAAAAAGATCAACATATCAATCTTAGGTACGAATTTTCATTTCTCCTGATGTACTATTAAAGACTTGACCTATATAAATTTAAGATGTTTATAGATAAAGATATCTATTAAAAAAATAAGAAGTCTATTTTGCTTTAATAATATTACCCTTATTAAAGTAATATTCAAAGTATCATTTAAAAATTTAGATCTTTATTAATAAAACCTCTATTCATGAAAATTATATCATTTTGGGCCGTTCAGACATTTCTATCACGTAATCTAAATATATTATACAATAATAATCTACACTAATTATTACTTTACTCAATCGGCGTGGTGGTATGATTTAAATATCAAATAAAAATTTAGATCTTTAATAATAAAAACTACTATATTACTATACTATAAATACTAAAAATACTTACCATTAATATTTCGATTTGGCCATTTCAGCAGGTTCGGATATTTATCTAATGTAATCTAATAATAAAAAATATATATGTTTCACAGGTGATTTATTGGATCTATGATCACATTACATTACACGCAAAATTATTGTCTAGATCTAAATTACACAAGTCCGCAATATTGTTATCATTATCAAAAAAATCGGACTCCCATTTTTGATATTTTTCCCGTTGTGCATCAAAATGGTAACTTTTGTATCCCTTACGCGTTCATTAAATATCCTCTGCACAATAATTCGTTAATTTATTATTTATTTATTTGAAAATAAGGCATGAATAAAAAAAACAAATTTATGTTTTAAATAATGAGAAATTGTAGAAATTGTTTCTTACCACTAACAGCTAATGTATTGTTAAATAAATTTGTTGTTGTTTAAATTAATAAAATAAAGTTTCATTTAATATTTAATCACCAATAAATTGATTTTGTGTATTGTTTGTATTGTTCGTTATTACCCAAATCCATTTTCAAGTCCTATGAATTGATAAAAAATATTAATAAAGGTGAAGATAATGATGAATGATTTGACAAAGCTTTTATTGAAATCTGGGCAATACATCAAAAGAAATTAATTAATTAATTAATGATAATAAATCAAATGAAATCATCTAAAAATTCTAAACTAATGAACCTATTAATGATTCTATAGAACTTTTATTGTAATCAAATGAACATAATTTTTTGGATGGAAATCAATTCTTAGGAATTTGAATCACTGAGACTTTGTTAATAATATCTAATCGAGTTTATTTATCAAATTATTTCCAACAAAAGACTGCTATTCTATCAATAGTATTTATTGTTCTCGAAAAATAGGAAAAAAAGATGTATATTTTTTGAATAGCAAAATGAGTAAAATAAGAGTAAAATAATAGAAAGAAATAATAAATGAAAACTATATTCAATAATAAAATGAAATGAAAATATCGGTCAATAATAAAAGAATAAATGTCATGCATTTTTAAAACTAAAATTAAAAAAAGAATTCTATCACATAATACCAAATAATTTCAATAATCTAAATAAAAAAGTACTATTTCAAAATGACATTTCTGAAGTTATATTAGGAAGTGGTTGATTTTGAGATGGAGGAATTGCATTCATTATGGCTTCATATAATTCATCCGCTTCATTGGAATTGTGTAACTAATAAAATATAATAAAATATATTAAATAAAAATATATCAAAAAATATAATTACAAAATCTTAAATTGCAAACCTTAATAGCAGATGAACGAGCTTATCCTCAAAGGCAAAGATTCTTACAAATTTCTCTTGTGATCTTTCAACTTGCATTCCATGAAATAATGCAACATTTAAGATCACTTTTAGTACGTTTTCAGAACGCATAACTTTATATTTTTTTAATCAAATATTATGTCAATTATATAATGATGGTTGGTAAAAGGAATTACAATAATAACAAATTTATATCGAAAGCTTACCTAATCGAGGAGAATTTTCATTATTTTTTGAATAATTTAGTCTTAGGATTCCAACTCCTCTTTCTTTCCATTCCTGAACATTCAAACAGTATAATTTCGCTCTAATTGCAATTCGAGTAATCTCATTTTCTTCCCCAGTTGATACTAAAGAAATTATATAACAAAAAATTACTGTTATTAATAATAATAATAATATTATTATTATTGATGTTTTTTTTTGTCATTATCACCTTCTTGTTCCTGTAATAAAGTTCGAATTCTTGTCCCAAAAGGGACTTCTTCTTTCACACCCTTATCATTCTCATTATCTTCACCACTTTGTGCGGCTTGCTCATCAAAATTGATACATTTGGTTTTTGTGAGCTTAGTCTTTCCATTAATGTACCGGAATATTTGTTCCCCGATCCAAATATTCCAGTATAACCACTTCCGAATATTGGTTGTGGTTTGAGTTGGAGTTGTGGTTGTTGTTCGAGTTGGGATTGTGGATCCGGTTGTGGATCGGGTTGTGATTCAAGTTGTGGTTCAAGTTGTGGTTCAAGTTGTGGTTCAAGTTGTGGTTGTGGTTGTATTTTTTTTTTTTTCGTGGCCTTCCTCGGCCACGTTTTTGCTGTGTTGGTGGCTGTTGTAGTTGAGGTTGAATGGGTTGAATGTTTTTTCGTGGCCTTCCTCGGCCACGTTTTTGATTTGGTTGTTGTTCATTTTCGGTTGCCTTTCTTTTTCTTAAAGAATTTGATGAATCTTCAATTATTGATGCATCAATCTTTCCTTTGCTCCTGCCCCTTCGAAGGGTTATAGTAGGTTGAGCATTTATAGTATCTACATTGATTCCATTAGAATTAGCAGTACCAGCATAATTGGTTTCAGAATTGGTGTCGTTAGGAGCTTTGCTTGCTACATTAATCATTCCTTTACTCCTGCCTCTTCGAAGCGTTATAATAGGTCGAGTATTTGTAGAATTTACATTATTTCCATTAGAATTAGAAATGCTGGCATAATTGGTTTTAGAATTTATTTTGATAGGTGTTTCGTTTGTTATGTTAATCTTTCCTTTGCTCCTGCCCCGTCGGAGAGTTATAGTAGGCTGAATATTTATATTTGTTACATTAGTTTCAGTATGTTTATTCATGTTAATATTATTGAAGAACGGGTTTTTGGAAAATGGACACTGTTGTTATGTAAGATTATTATATGTGGTATGTTTGATGTTATTTCTTTGAGATTCAAATTTTAGAAATAGAGAGATTTTTTTTTAAAAAAATGGCTAGTTTTGATTGGATTTATGAAAGCAAAATTTTTTTCTGTATATAATGTGAATCTGATGTAATTATTACAACCATTTTGAAAGACTATTAAATCCAATGATGCAATAATTATTAATAATTACACAGAAAGCAAAATAGTAGAAAGATGATCACAATTGATCTTTTTATTACCTGGATTACCCCCGGATTACACAGTCACTATTAAAATAATCTATTAATTTATTATAATAAAATAATCTGTAATTAGACTGCATCATATTGATAATTATAACTGCTAAAATTAATATAAATTATTAATTCGAGGCACCAGTTAGACAAATTATTTCACTTTAAGAAGCATAAATCAGATTTCTTATTCTTTGCTTCGTCATTTACTCAATTAAGTTCCTATTCAAAATTTTTGATTGATATTAGGTATCTTCAAGAATTGATTATAAAAAACATTTGTCTAGATTTATTTGTCAACAATATTTATTATTAATAATTTTGATTAATTAAGAAGATTTTTATTTGATTATGGAGGAATAGATTTGATACTAATAAATTCTTATATAAAATGGCCAAGAATCACTTAAAATATTGGCCATTTATTATCATAATTTTAATAGTTTCAAAGAAAAATTTCTTGAAATGTGGTGTTATAAAGGAAGAGGAGGAGGAAATAAAAAAGATTATTTTAAAACGTACAAACAAGCGATCTATTTACATTACGCGATGAGAATGTTATTTTAATTAATAATTTATAATGCCAAATCGAAAAATATAGGTCTGATTGTATCATTTATTATGTCATGTTGAACATAAGAATATTGAACATATAAAAAACTACTTTGTATTAAAAACACTATGTATTAAAAGTCATTGGTATAAAAATATATGATAATAATTTAACGAAAAAAATTTATTAAGCAAATATTGTTTGATATAGTATATGATTATTTTATTTTATTTTATAGCTTAATTTAATTAAAAAATAGTCACTTCAAAAATAAAAATTGTCATTTTTACTACAATAATTTTAATAATAGTTATATAATTTATTTATATTTAGAACATAATATATAAAAATTCAAGGTCAGAGGCATTTTATTAGCTAAAATAATAAAAAAAAACTACTATATTACTATAAATACTGTAAATACTAACTACTAAAATATCGATTCGGCATTTCAGCAGAATCTAACGATAAATATATGTTTGACGTTATATACAGTATTTGAAATAATCTGTACCATATTACACAATTTACTAATTTATTGGATCTATGATCACATTACATTACACACAAAAATTATTGGATGGATTCATTGTTAGGATCGTTATCTAATAATCATTATCAAAAAATCGTTCAGACAGGTTACGTTTTTGATGTTTGTCAATTGGTGCATCAAAAGTGTAACTTTGGTATCACTTTAAATATTCTACGCTATGCTCCGGACAAAAATGTTTCACGTTATTCTCCGGACAATAATTCATTCATTTATTTGATCATTTATTTTATTTTGAAAATAACACATGAATAAAAATATATAAATAATTAATCTAATAATTAAATAGCCATTAAATTAAATTAATAAATAATTTTATGTAATGTTAAATAAATTTACTATAGTTTAATAGTATTGAACCAATATAATAATGCTTCATGTAATATCAATAAATGGATTGTTTGTATTGTTTGTTATTATAACCGAATCTATTTTCAAGTCCTATGAATTGATTTGTTTCATCAATTTTAATGAATTATAAATAAATAAAAAAATATTAATAAGATAATGATAATGATGAATGATTTCGAAACTTTTATTATGATGATAAATCTATGAAATCATTATTGTATTCTAAAAATTCTAAATTTTAAGATAAGAAACAATCCATGAATTAATTAACAATTCAATTAATGAATTTTTTAATGATTCAATAGAACTTTACTAATGGTATGACGATTTGATTATAACTAAATCATGAAATAAATAAGCAATTAAACTCAATCTGCTTTTATAAATCATTTGTATATTTATTTAAAAACAAATAATTGTCTACATATAAAACATCCAAATAGAAAAAAAAATATTAAAAAAAAGAAATAAACTGTATCATTTTCATCACCAACGCCAACATAATCCAACTACCCGCCAAAAACCACAACTAACTTTTAAATTTTTTTTAGAACTAACTGAAATCTAAATTATTTACAAATATTTAAATGCATTATTATTTATATCTTTCGTTTTTTTGAAATGTGCCCATCTTCACCATCAACACCATCATTATCATGACCTTTATAAAAAAAAAAAGTTGAAGTATAATTAGTATAATTAATATCGATATAACCTTTTTATATGTATAATATAATATTAATAAAATATTTACCATGCTTTCTTTTATTATTATTAGATTTATTTTGCTGCCCCATTGAGGTAGCTGCCAACAAAAGATTAATTTGTTGTTGTTGTTGGTTTAGTTTATGAGGGATTCCTAAATTC